TGTTGGAGGAAATCGTATTCAATATTACATTAAGAAAGAATAAGAAGGTAATGAAAACGGAAAAATTAAGCCAAGGTCAGTCGATAAGAAAGCTCTTGTCGGCGGCCTCTGTTCGATTGGGACGACGTGTTTACTACTACAGCTACCTTAATGATTTAATACAATTCTCATGGCAGTGTATAGATTATTAATAATTTAATTAGCGTAAAGTCTATATTATATTAACAAAACTGATGAAAAAAAGAAGAAATTATTCAACCACCAATCAAAACGAATCTGACTTTCAGAAGTAAATTCTCTTTATCATATCCTGGAAAATAATTGGGTTTCATATATAATTAACGTTGATTTTGTGTGTTGGGAGGAGGTTGGATACAAAAGCTACTAACATTTCTCAAACACATTTGCGACATGGATAAGCGATAATTCGCTTCTATACATTTTTGAGACACGTTTTATAAGAATTTTAAAATACCTACAATTATATCGGGGCAACTCTCAAGAAATAACCATTGTTTATAATCATTTTCTATATATGCGTACTGTATTTATTTTACAATGTTAATGGTTATCATTATTTCTCTTTTGATGTATAATTTAATGCCGGTGCTCCTAGTAAAATGATAATTTGGGTATAACTACAAAATGGAAATATATGACAGAATGAGAGTAAAATAATTTAAAGAATAATATTATAATTTATAATATTCTGTGACTACTAATATTTCTGTTTCATTTTACCGTTAGGTTGGATGGGTATATCATTACCAACCCTCTCTCACCAAGCAGTAACGATTTTTTAAACTTCATTTTTTTTTCGTATATTATCATTTTTAGTGTTACAAAACTTATATCAAACTTTAATGCAATACGTTTTAACAATTATACATTTAGGAGAATCAATAATAAAAGAAAAATTTAAATAAAACTGTAATGTAAAAATGCAAAAAATAGATATTTACATTGAAATATTTTGTTTTCAATTATTTTCATTCTATCTATAATTATGTTGTAATGGATAGTATTTAATTCAAGTTGTGATAATTATGAATAATAATAATTATTATTATATATGAAGTTGATTTATAATTGCGACACATTAATTTTAGCTACGATACTCAAAGCAAATACCACGCCTAGCTACATTAGATAAATAAAGTATCTTACAATTAATAAAGCGGAGGTAATCTCCCCTAAACTTTCTCCTACATTTTTATATAACACTATGGGGATGTCAATTCGGGATGTAGACATGCTTTTTAATACGTTTTAGCATACTTAAACTTTATAAAATAGAGTGGAATAGCGTAGAAAAAAAATTGCGCTGCAAGTAAGCAGTTAACGACATGTGTTTAATAGTGCGGAATATTAGTACTTTATAAATTTATAAGCGTTTTTTGAGAAATCGGCAATAGCGTAAAGTAATACTTACGGTCAATGGAAATTACTCAGAATTTGAAAGACGGCAGGGAATCAGATCGTTTTACTTATTTGTGAAAATTCGTTTATCGATGTGAAACAGTACTCAAGTTAAAGGCTTTTGAAAAAAAAAGTAGAATGAGTTCCACTTCTGGTAAACGAAAATGGCAGAAAAGATGATACGGATCTACACATTTGATGTAAAATTTATATATAAAATGTCATATTTATATATAGTATTTCATCAACCTAGCTGTAAAAGTATTCAAGTTACCGTGTTCACACACACACACACACACACACACACATAGAGAGAGAGAGAACTGCAAAGCAATTTTTCCTATCGATTTCGCATAAAAAGCCTTAATTTTAATAACATTGGATTTAGAACTATCGCCCGATTAAAATAATCTTATGTTTTGGGATTAAATTATGGAAAATGCGATGATTACAAAAGGGTTTCTCAAGTGATCACTGCCCAAAAAAAAATGAAAAACTAGCTTTGAAAAATGTATTCATGTAGTATTTATATTTTCACGATGATACAAGATATATTAAAAATGTTTTTATCTATATCTATATCTATATCTATATATATATATATATATATATATATATATATATATATATATATATATATATATATATATATATATATATACATTGGATCATTCGTATAACATGTTTGTCAAACATTATTTGATCGTATTTCTAGAAGAAAGATACAAAACAAAAAATGTGTATATTAGTTATTTATTCATTCAATTTATTTTTTCATATGTATTGATCAAAATCAAACACGCATAAAAACATGGTCAGTCTAATTTTGTCTACAAAAGTGTCAAAAAACAGAATGTATAACTAGTAGTTTCAAAATGTATTAAAAACATTGTTATTTTATCTTTGACTTGCTTAATTTATGTTTCAAAAATGTATTGCCTGTATTACCGTTTTTTTTCCTTACTGTTGGTCATTAGTTTATTTATTTGCTTATTAGTTTGCGTGTGTAGTCGTCTCCTTGACATTTAAATCGATACTAATGTACAGCAAAACATTAAATAAACCGTGGCTTTTTTATTCTTTAAAGATTATGCAAGGTTAAAATTGTTTTGTGAAGTAACAGCAAAAAAATATCGTTTCTTTCTAGATACAGAACTTGTCAACGCTGAACGAAAAATTAGTGAGGAGCTATCGAAGCTTGAAAAATGTTTGTTAAATGATTTAAATTTATTGAAAGATCTAAGGTCTTTTCAAATAATCAGGCTGTATAAAATATTAAGTGAAACTTGTTTAAATTTCAACAACACGTTTATAGATCTAGGCATAGAGATAGCTAAGTTGTTGGGTATAACAACGTTTGAGAAACTCGATGCTGTGATGGAATTTGCAGCAACACTTTTACATGAAAAATCATCTGAATTAAAAGAAGAAGATGATAAAAGAGCTGACGCAACAAAACAAAGAATTAATGAGATTAAAAAACAGGTAAAGGATGATATAATATCAGAAAATGAAGGTAGACTACAAATAAACAAGAAAATGCAAACCTTAATGGACATAACTTTTTAAAAAAGTGAAATTCGTAACAAAAGATTTGAAAAAGCTTTTGAAATACTTCGCAAAGAGTTAAAAGAAATATGTAACAGATTTATTGAATTGCAGTAGCGTAGCGAGGTGGGGGGGCGGGGGGGGGGGGACAAATGTCCCCGGGCGCCGACCTTAGGGGGCGCCAAAATGAGTTGGAAAAATAAATTGAAAGTTTGAGGGGGGTTGGTGCAAATCGAAATCTCGAAGAGGGGGGGGGGTGCAAATCGAAAAGTTTGTCCCCGGGCGCCGGGAAGGGTCGCTACGCCTCTATTGAATTGTCAAGTGAACATACACTGTTCAGCCAAGGTGAACAATTTAACTTATGCTGATCCTATGCTTGCAGTTTCACATTACAAGAAACATGGAAAAGATTATAGGAAGAATGGTAATGAACTTATTCTGACATTCTAAAGGTATTTGCAAATGGCAAGAAAAATGTTGTCTAGGAAAGACATAGAATCTACTTGGGAGCAAGACGGAAGTATTAGGAGTTTTAAAGCTGAGAACAGAAATAAAACGAAAATAGCTGTCAGAAAAAACAAGATTATTGCAACTTTATTTTTTGCTATTTAAGTTTTTATTTTCTGGTCTTCTATAAATGCAAAAGATATAAAAGACACAATTGATTTTCAACAACATTAGTTATATTCTAATATTGCTCATTTCTATAATTTTTTAGTATATCTAGAAGTTTATTTAAATAAAACGAGTTATTAGTTTAACTTTGGGGTTTTTCAGTTATATGAGATGCCGTGTGTATTTTAGAGGTTAATTTCTTATAACTTAACCGCTACATGATGTATATATCCGACGTTTTGTCATACGTAACTTTCTTTTTCAGTTCAATTTGTTGAGAGAACTGTTAAACCATGTTAGCCACACAACTGTAAATATGATACAATGTAAAGATCACACAATAAAAATTTACCAAGCTCTATATGAAAATAAAAATGTGTCCCTCCTAATTGAATTGAGAATTTTCACCACTTTAGGAAATATTAAAAATCAAATTAAAGTTATATATTGTTCATTTTTATAAACAAATTATTAACCTATGTTTTATGTAAATCTTTACATATGTGGTACCTAGTTCAAGTGTTGATACCATATTCATTGTGTCAAAGTAATGTAAATATAAAAATAATTGTATTGAGGCCTAAAAATTTCAATAAAATTTACTGATCTTATAAAATATGTTTCCTATAGATATATATATAAAAAATAAATGTACATAAGATTAACTATATTCTCATAAGACTTTAGGTTACGCAATACGTGTGTGAAATAAATATATTTTTAAAACATCATAGTTAACAGATTTATATTAAAACATATTTTAATAATGTATTGCTTTTCTTTGTGTTTACTATATAACTGAGCGTAGTTTTACAATGTAACGAATAATGTATGGGGAAAGGTCTAGAAAACATATGAAACATGAAAAATAGGTATGACTATAAAGACTTGTTTATTCTAAACATAATGAAAAAGATAAAAAATATACGGGTTTTTACTTTTAAATATCTGTCGCCAGACCAACACGGAAGATGTGGTCTAGGTAAGTAGCATGTTCGTACATACAATTTTTTTGTATTATTTTGACTCAGAATTCAAGTTATTTTAAGTCTAGCTAATTTTCACCCAGATCAAATTTAATAATGGGAATAATAAATCATTAAACATTTTCCAGTACCTCTTTCAAATATAGATTATGAGCCGTATTTAAGCAAAATTATGTTTTTCTTAAATTAACCTAAAGGGAAATAAACGTGAGATTATCTTAAAATAAGTGTGTTAATTACGATGAATGTCCTTGTCTATTTACTGCGTAAATGTCTAGCCGGTTGTTACCTTTCAATTTTCAAATCTCTTTCCGTTACTTTCACTTTCACTTTTGTCTGAGAGGACATAGACTGTCTATACTGCTTTGTTTACGGGTGTCCATGACGATTATGACGACATAGATTACACATGTGTAGTCCCACAGCTCTGGTAGGTTTTAAAGTAGAATGAAGAATGTTTTCAAGTATTCGCCTTCAATTAATCTATTAAGAAAGGAAATAAAAAACATAATTTAATCAGCTTAGCTGTGTGAACAGTAAGTATGGCTCAATAATATGTGTCTTATGTAAAAACAAGTTAATAAAAAGTCTAGTGACAATTTAAGCGCAATTTCCTTATGTTATCTAAAAATAGATGTGGTGCGTTCAAGCTAGGAGAACGATCGGTTTTTAGGTGTTTATGTAATTTTTTTAAAAAATTGTGTGACCGAACGAAAGGATATTTTTGAAAACTTTCTTCGGCAATATTGTTCTAAATTATGGCCGAAATCGATTGGTAAATGTTTCAAGTCGCTAAGTGGTCTGGTTGCCGAGATACGGGCCAAAAACTGCATTTTTTCGAGGTTTTTTGGCTTTTCCGGGAAATCCAGGAAGGAATTCCGGGAATTGTTTAGCCCACAATCATCCTTGGAACTTGCTTAACATATTTGATTTTGGAACTAGTCCTTGATATTGCTTCGTTGAGGAGGAGATACGACTTAAAGCTGCGGACATCCATCCATCCATTCCCAGAAATGACGAGTTAATAATCGCAATTCTCCAGAATGGAAATTGCGCTAAAAACATATTCCTTTAGTGACAGAATACTGTATTCGAACTTGATAATTGTATCATGTTTAAATTTGTGAATAACTTAAAAGCAAATACAAATTAAGCAGCAAAGTTGGAAACAGCAGCACAAATTAGATATAAATAAAGCACGCTTTGTATGTCAATATTAGACACACATCAACTAATACGGTATATTCATATATATATATATATATATATATATATATATATATATATATATATATATATATATATATATATATATATATATATATATATATATATATATATATATATATATATATATATATATAATACGTATGTAAAATTTTAGAAATGTTACACATTTCTTATTATAAAAGTAATGTTTTGTTTAGTAATAAGAGCATTTATTTAAAAATGCAACTTGAATGTTTACAGATTTGGACATATGGATCTATATGTGAGAGAGTATTCTATATATGAAGAGGATAATTCAGTTTATTTCTCAGAAGACTATGATGATCTTGTCGAAATAGATGTCGATCACGCTACAGTCAAAAAAGTTTATGAAGCTGCGCTGTCGGGCTTGGCGATCGATGATAAGGAAATCAATTACAGAAATGACAGTGGGCTAACAGCACTTATGATAGCCATAAAAAGGAAAAATCTCCGGGCTCAGAAAGTTCTAATACAAGCAGGTGCCGATCTTAACATTAGTCGATCAAATCGATCTTTCTACACAGCATTGTCCCTTGCCGTCGATCGGGGGCTTAGTACCACAGTAAAAGAGTTACTTCGGCGTGGGCCTTTTCTTTCTTGTATAAATGGGATTAAAGCCCTAGAAATAGCAAGAGCTAAGGGCCTGTTATGCTACGTTGTGGAAGGTGAAAATTATCAAATCGCTCAAAATAAACAGAAAGAGATGAATGGCCGTACGGGGGTATATCGTGCTGTTAAAGAAAACCGCTTAGATTTAGTGAGAGATCTCATTAAAGCTGGGAGTTATATAACACTGATGCATAAATCAACATACACCAATTCACATAACAATAAATATGTATTGCAGCATTTGATAGAGGAAGGAGTTAATGTAAACATGGTTTTTAAGGAAGACAAAACGCCACTGATACTAGCTATATATTATAAAAGTTTAATATGTGTAGATATTCTACTTCAAGCAAAAGCCAATGTCAATTTTGTTAGGAAAAACAAGCTGACACCGTTACATATGGCCGCGGAGTACGTTCAAGAGGAAATTGTCAAAAAGTTGATAGAAGCTGGTGCTGACGTCAATGCAGAAACAAGTAATGGCGAAACACCCCTACATTTTGCTGTTAGATTTGTGGTGAACAAATCAACTAAATTTAAAGTTGAAAAAAGTATGCCAGCTAACAGCGGTTGTGTAGATAACGACAAACTATTTCAAACGATAAGCTGTCTTCTGCAAGCCGGTGCGAAAGTTAATGTGCCGAACATATTTGGACTTTTACCAATTGTGGATATTATGAAGTTTGGAAGTCTAGAACTTCTGAAACTACTTATAGACCATGGCGCTGATGTAAATGCTCTCGATACAGAGAAGAATCCAGTCTTATCGTTAGCTTTAAACAACAAGAGTAAAGAGATCGCAAGTCTTCTAGTGCAGAAAGGTGCAGACGTTAATGTTAGCTCCAACGATCATGTGCCGTGTTTGTTAGAGGCAATAAAGCTAGGGGATGTTGAAATAATTAAAAGCATTACGCAGAAAGGAGCGGACTTAAAACAAACAGATGCCGACGGCAATACATGTCTGCATATTGCCGTCTACATTGCACAAGATCAGGGTGCTGCTCAGAGTCCACTTCCGATATCTTCACTTTTTCAAGATAGACAGTCTACTGTGTCTTTACAAAACCACCAGTATATTATGAAACATATGAATGATAGACTAAGCACTGAAGTTTTACAGCTTCTTTTAGATAACAAAGCTGATGTAAATCTCGCAAACAACAAGGGAAGAACTGTTTTACATTACTGTGTTAAAACTAGACGTCTCGAACAGGTAAAATTGTTGCTTGAAGCTGGAGCTGATGTTAACATACAGAACTCGGATCATAAAACGCCCGTACATATAGCAGCCCACTTGTTTTGTTGTACAGACACACAGACCGACTTAAACATCTCAGTGGAGGCGGAAATTTTACAAGCACTCCTTGTTCCTGCAGCTAAAGTTAACATTGCAGACAAATCTGGTAACACAGTTCTACATTATGTAGTTCTGCAAGAAAATTTAGATATCGTTCACAGATTACTTGATGCCGGTGCTGATGTAAGAATGCGGAATAATTTCGGCGAAACAGTTTTGCATTTTACAGCAAGATATCAGTGTAATAAAATTATGACTATTATTTTGAATATGCCACACATATCAGATGTAATTGATGTTAAAGATGGGCGATTAGAATCACTGCCATCCAAACGTCGTAAGTTAAATTCTTACCGACAAAGTAATATACATATTTTGGATACCAACTTTACTTCTGTGGAAGATTACTTAATCCAAAGTACTGGCAAAACGGCTTTAATGCTTGCATTAGAGAATGGACGTGAAGATATGGCTTTCAAATTGTTGTCCTGTGGTGCTAGTGTCGATGTAAACAATGATAATGGATACACTGCTTTACACTTCGCAGTATTTAAATCTAGCATTGAAATAGTGCGGCATTTAATACAAGCTGGATGTAATGTTAATGATCAGAGTCACGATGGAGACACGCCCTTAATGTTAGCCAGAAATAAAGACATTCTAAACATTTTGATAGATGCAGGCGCGGAAATAAATTCGAAAAACCATTGTGGCATAAAAGCCTTACATACAGCTATATGTAGAGGAGATGTAGAATCTGTTGATATTTTAATTAGTAAAGGATCAGTAATAAACGAAGCTACTCCTGAACTGTTGCCGCCGTTAACTCTCGCAGCATGTCTTAAAGAAATAAAGATTATTAAACGTTTATTAAAAGCTGGAGCCGATGTCAATAAATTATCATCTACAGGAATCTCACCTGTAATGGCCGCGTCAACTAATGTTACAGATATTGAAATGGCATCTGGTATACGAGTTAATTCTTCGGTATTTGAAATCCTCTATAATTATGGCGCTAATTTCAATCTAACCGACAATAAAGGTCAGACAGCGCTAATTTATCTAATTAAACATGAAATTTTTCTAGAAAAGTTCCTAAAATACTTCATATGGTATGGTGCCGACCTTGAAATTAATGACCGAGATGAAAGGTCAGCTTTAACCCACTGCGTATTGCAAGAGTGCGATTACCAGAGGGTTACCTATTCAGAAATGTTGCTTCAAGCAGGAGTGAATCCGTTGGTAGGTGTAAATTATCGGCATTTGCTCTCTAAACATGAACTAGGGGGCGTAAAACAACAGGTTTGGCTTTTGAAGGCAGAGGAGTATAGGCCAACATATGAAATTATTATCCGGTTTGGTCATTTCAATTTTCTTCGTATGTTGATATACAACGGAGTAGTATTAAAACCGTCTTCGCCGAATCAAAACACGCCTAAGTTAACTGCCCTAATGTTATCTATTCATCTTGAAAAAGTGGACTTATTGAAGTTTCTTATAGCTACATCATATATGACCCTCGATGATTTGAAAAATTTGAGTGAGTTGAGCAAAATCAATTTGAAGGACCGCCGCTTTGGCACCAATAATCAATGGCCGTTGAATGCTGACATTTTTAAAATTGTCAAATCAGCTATGTCTCAACCCTGGTCACTGTTCAAACTTGCTTTAATAACATTTTCAACAACGTTGGGAGAAAGTCCAGATCGAAATGAAAGACTCTCACAGATACATTTACCGCCTAAACTCAAAAGTATTTTGACGTTCCAAACTCCAATAGCAAAACTCCCTGTCAGTGAATGGTCGAAAATATCACTGTTTTGACACGGTTGTTTTTTAACCTGTGCCATAACCCTACACAATGATCTTCTCTTTAGTGTAGTTGAATAGTAAACATGCTAGGATCGTAATGCTAGATACTTTTCTACTATGCTATTGCCACTGTGTTGAATGGCTACGCTGTAAACTTTTCATACTTCATTTTTTTTTTACTTATAGGCCTACTTGTAACATATGTTTTTATCACAAATACTAATTGATAGCCCCATTAACCGTTAAGCTTTTCAAATTATTTTTGTTAGCAGGATCAATCATAAAGATATATTTGAAACATTGTTGATAAGATGTAGTTTTTGACTGTTTTTTTTTAAATAATCAATTCATTTATTACATATTTGCTGTGTTTATTATTTTTATGGTAGAAAACTGTTTAACCCTTTCAGGGCCACATGGATTGCAGGCATAATTTCAAATATCTGGGAACACATTTAGTAGTAAAATGACACGTAGATTTTTTAAAAAAATGTTAACGGTTTTCCAATATCTTAAATACTTTTTGAGATACAGCATGGGACATATATGGGCGTCAGGGGAAAATTATCGAACATAGGTTGCTTTGTGAGTTGTCAATAAGTTTATTCTAAAGGGGTCTCCCATAAATGACGTCACGGTTTTTTTTGACGTTTTACCTCCCCCTTCCTCCCCTCCGTCACACGTCGTCACAAAAAGACAGACATCCCCCCTAAAATGACGTCACACCTCAGTCTACAACCCCCCTCAAAATTGCAGTTGAATTTCTCTTAAAACATCGATATTTTTCCAAAATCTTGTCTGAACTCTGTCAAAATAGAATATTTTTATAAATTCCTATTAAAACAGTTTTCTAAAACGCGAAATAACGTCTAAAATTCGTTTTCTAACATTGCTTTTTTATAATGCAAAAGTGTGACGTCCCACGATCTGAACCCCCTCCCCCTCATCACACACCGTCACGAAAATACGGACCCCCCCTCCCCCCCCCCAGATGTTCTATAATATACACGAACATGGCAGATATAATACATATTGTCCGCTCTGTTCTCAATCTTTTCTTTTGCACATTGTGCATAACATCCTGCGTTTTTCTTCCTTTGATTTATCAAATTCTGGTCGGGTTGAAGTGAAATAAATTCTTGCCTCTACGACCAGGTCTTAAGGCGATATTTCTTTGATGTAATCTTTAAATGTGAGCTCTCGCTACCATTTGCCTTTATTCAAGTTTGGTTTTGCATTGTAGCCAGCGTTCAATTCTTGTCACATGTAGGTATAAATGGCTTTCTGACTTCAAATGTTTATCTTGGCATCACATTATCAATGTATGAAACATGGATATTAGGTTCAGTGGACCAGTGGTCTTCAAAGTTTAGAATTACATGGTATCCCATCACAAGTTTCATTCTCAGAATGTATAGATGTCTTGCGAATGATTTTGAAAAAGAATCCCTTACTGTGGCATGAACAGTATACTATGATCGATAATCAGAGTTACCAAACACTCAAAATAACAAAGCTTTAATTGCCTAAAAACATTGGGATCTTCAATTCAATCAAGATCTATTGTCAATTTTCAATAACCATAGTCAATAACTTTTATTTGAAACTGTTTTTTCAGAAGCCTCTAGTTGAAATAAATATCTTGCTCCAGTCTCCTTTTTCGGTTATCACAACGACGTTTGGTTGTTCATGTTTTGGGCAAGACTAGTTCTATTGATGGAAATGATAGGTCAGCTTCGGGTCAAGGACATTATCACCCTGTCAAATTCCCCCCCCCCCTCCCCACCGCCGATGCTGAAGAACCCTGATCTTAACCCCAAACTTCGAGCAAAAAACCTAAAACAACCCTAACAAAAAAAAAACTAACTCAGCTATAAACCTACATTTAACCCTAAAACTAGCCCTAAACTAGCACTAGTCCTAATTTATCAATAACTGGACGAGAGGTTATTGTTGATATAATTTGTCTTTACAAACAATAAAAAGAGCTTATTCTATATCATACGTAGAATTTTACTGCGACAAGCAAAACTAGTGATCCTATTCCAAGAAAAAATTTACTCGTTATAGTCCCCAAAAAATTCCAGTATAATATCAATATCATTAAAAATTAAATTTATTCTATTGGAAACACACCAACAGGCATACCAAAATGTGTTAAGTGATAAATAGCAAAAATACCTTAGCTATTATCTGCCCCCCACCATCCCCCCTCCGAACTACCCTCGATGTAAATGTATCAACGCTGAAACTATGACAGTTTTCGCTCACCTCTCTTTTTTAACAAACGTACACAATTAAATTATCAAACAGAACTTCTTACCTACACATAGTTTCAAATCGTTTAAAAACTAAATTTCTGCCCCTAATAGCCGTCACTAATTCGACCCGACTCTACGATTGTAAACATTCATCGTGAAGCACAGCTCACCATACTAGAGGGGGTAGGGGGTGATGGCAATATGGTCTGTTTCGCATGCCTGGAGAGCCGGGGTGGGGGCGGGAGGAGGGTTAGATGTTCGGCTTGCGTCGTCTTGTCTATGAAGAGAATTATATTTACGAGCTGACCCGCGCCGTAATCATACGCCGCTATTTAGGTGTTTTATTTTCTTCTTTTTAGTAGTACGTAAATCTATAATATAACGCTGCTGGTAGTGTGTCAGTCCTTCCTTCCGTCATCGCTATAGCTTTTGGAACCATAAAAGTAAACATTCGCACCATGCTGTGCTTTTCAGTGCACCGCAGTGTCTTATTATAAGTATTAGAGTAGGGTTTGTTTATATAGCGGCATAGAGCTATTTTATAATTGCCACTGTGTTTACTCTTTTGCATAACTTAAAGAAAATATTAAATACACGCACATTGCTAAAACATATTAAAAGGATCAATGTCAAATATCATTTTCGTTTATATTCCTAGAAAAAGTGGATACATTTTAATAACATAATAACAGTACGGTAGAAAAATCAAATTAATTTAACTCTTTTCTAATTTTGACAAAGGAGGTAATTTAAAAATACATTTAAACTCACGCTAATAAAAAATGTGAATGCAAATATACGTTCGTCATAGAAGGAATTAGTGTTGCAATAATATAATTAGCAAAATGTGAATGCAAATTATTCGGATGTGTAAGAGGAAATTATTGTTAGAAAATTATAATTGGCATGGATTGATAAAAGGCAATCTTTTATTTATTTTATTCACTGAATGTAGGCCCTACTGTTTATTACTTATAATTTTTAATCAACTATTCAGCACTATTATAGACGCGTCATCACGTTCATTAGGTGCGCAATGGTTTTAGTTATGAAACTCTATGGTAAATTTTAAAAATTTAAAGTACTGGGAAAAAAATGCGTGAATGGATAAAGTGAAATATTGTATATATTATAGATACTGCCTATTATTTATACTGTCGGGTTTTATCGGAGAGGCGTAGCGAGGGGGGGGGGGGCATATGTCCCCGGGTGCCGACCTTAGGGGGCGCCAAATTGGGTTGGAAAAAATTTGCGAGGGGGGGGGGGGGTGGCGGAAATCGAAAGTTTTAGCGCGGGGGGGGGGGAAGGGGTGCAAATCGAAAGTTTTGAGGGGGGTGCAAATCACCGGAAAGGGCGCGATTTGGCGCTACGGGCTAGACTGTGAGCAATATGCCTTTATGATTGCATTTAAATTGTGTTTATGTTATGAGTGTTGTGTTTGTTTTTTCGGTTTTTTTTTGTTTTTTTGCGTTCGTTTATGTTGTGTTTAGTTTTGTTCTGTTCCCAAGTTGGTACATTTAAAAAAGATTTACCGTGGCGGAGCACGGGATGCAGCTAGTAATATATAACACTACTGAGTTCTGGAGAAGGCAAATAGCTGCATTTAATTTTCAAAAGCCAGTGATGTATTATGTATTGTGAATGAATACGTAGATTCAATTCCTAATCATTACATTATTAATTATCATCATTAACTCATTAAATCATTAAAAAAATACTTATCACTTTTATATATTTTGTCGTATTATAGCCAGTGGCCGAACTAGAAAGCCTCCCCCCCCCCCCTTCTGACCCGCAAAAAATAAGTATTGCCCCAGATATATATATATATATATATATATATATATATATATATATATATATATATATATATATATATATATATATATATATATATATATATATATATATATATATATATATAGGGTAAGGTCTATATTCTTGAATTTTATTAACATTTACATGCAACGTGATTTTCAGTTGCCCGTAAATTTGGGAATGATTTTTTTTGTTTAGATATTTGATAGTTTGTATACGTCATTGCATTTAGTTTTGTGTAAACTTCACAGTTCAAATCCCTAAGATTTAACAACCGATTGTCATGCAAGACTGCAACGTTCATTGTGCATTAAGCAATTCGTTTTCAATATTTTTAGGCGAAGGGTCGTCCATAAATGACGTCACACTCGTAGGGGGGAGGGGGTCCGTAATTTTGTGACGGTGTGTGATGAGAGGGAGGGGGGGGGGGGGTTCATATAGTGTGGCGTCACTTTTTGTATTTTAAAAAAGCAATATTAGAAAAAAGTTTTAGCCGTTATTTATCGTTTTCGAAAACAGTTTTAATACAGTGTAATAGGGATTGATCAAAATACTCTATGTTGACAGAGTTCTGGCAAGATTTTGGAAAAATATCGATGTTTTAAGAAATATTCAACAGCAATTTTGAAGGAGGTGGTAGGCTGATGTGTGACGTCATTTTAGGGGGGGGTCTGGCTTTTTGTGACGACGTATGACGGAGGGAAAGGAGGAGGTAAATATCGTCAAAAAAGAATGACGTCATTTATGGATGACCCCTGAGTACATTCAGCTTAAAGCACAACTTCGTAAAATACTACCTCTTATCGACTAGACTTTAAGCAAACCACATGTAGAAAAGTTAAATTTTAAATGTGAATTCTATGAGTTTTAGAACTAATTAAGCGAAATATTTTTTAACCAGAAGAATTTTTCAAAAGAAAACTGCAGGTAACACTTACCTATTAAGCGCAAAGCTTAGCAATCTTTAAAAGATATCCTCAAACTATATTCCCCCGCTTTACTGTTACTGTTCTACATAGTAAATTAGCATTTAAATGGCACCATACCTTTTTTTCTTCCTCGTTTTCAAAATATAGAAGAAGTATTGTAGATGTGTACTAAAATCACATAATATTTTGCCTGTTTTTTATCGTTTTACTTCTCAGTACTTCATCATACACGGGGATTCACAAATAATCAGCGTTTTACGCGACATCGAATCGGAAAATCTGGGCTTGCAACTTTTC